GAGTATTTTTAGGTTTACATCCGGGGCATACATTGTCACGTGACCGTTTATTTTCGTTTTTTTGTGGTGTCATGTGATTAGTTATCACGTGATCGTCTTGTCTTACTTTTGCTTTACCCGTAATCGGTGTGTTTGTGACGTATTGTGCATGTATTGTCAATCACCTGTCCATCATTTGTGCTGACTTGACAAGTTTGACTGACCCCTGACATGGTAGGAGACACGTTCTCCACGCTGATTTTTGGAGCCTTCTTTTCCTTTTTTTCTGTCCTGTCCTTGTGTCGGCACTTCTCAGCTGCTACCCGAGGGCCGGTGCACACATATTTGTCCCTCTTCGCTGTGCGGCTATTAATCCGCATTATTAATCAATTTCCCTATAACCGGGTTCCCCAGCACCACATGCAGGGTAAGTGGATAATTTAATGTATTATGTTTGTAAATAGTTACTAATAATTAAAACCTAATTATAATGCTTGAGTAAAGCAAACTTTAGTAAGTAAACTTTAGCTCTAGAGTCATATAAACTTATTTTTGATACTTATAAAATAACAGCTAAAAGTAGTCGTTATTTCCTAAATATTTCTTGATTATATTCCTAAGTCTAATATTAGCTATGAGCCTAATATCATTCGAAATGTCAGTGTAATTATCTTTCTTCGTAACCTTTCCCATGCTTGTCAGTTCGTGTAGAAAGTCGGTGGAAATTTCGTCAAGTATCGTCTTTATAGTAATGTGTATTTGAATGAAGGTTATGTGCGTTCATGTGTAATTTGTACTTGTATGTTATTTTAAATATATTTTACAGGGATTTTAATTCCCGGATAAATAAATAAATACCTCCACGAAACACACGGGCTTGTAGTTGTCGTGTCGCTCCTGGCGAAAGAACCCTGGATGAATGTTACATTTACCTAAATATAGAGAAAGCTCCTTATAACGACCAGATCAGATCAATAGAGTTTAGGACATATTGTCAAAGACTTTCATGTTAGTGTTCAAATGCATTTCACTTAATTTTCAATGTTTCCGATAACCATACCAGATGTGGTTGATGAACTATGTTTATTCAAAGGTGACAGATTAGGATTGCAGCCTGTGAAAGCTACGCACGGTCGCCCAGGCATCCGAAAGCTGCACTCTTATTACCTGAACATTCGTTCTATAAATAGTATCATGGAGGCATCTTGTGGTAGTCAGCGCTCGAGCTTTACATGTGACAGGAGAAACTTCATCATAATCTGTGCCGTCCTGGAAATATTAGGTCGTCTGCATGAGACATACGACGCCTTACCAGGTCAACAGCTCTAGAACAAACGCACCCGCATTAACCTATTCAAAGGCAACAACATATTATTTGTTAGCATTAGACATCAGGGGTGCGGTTTTTACCAATTCAATACGTCCTTTCTGGACATTTGTGATAAATGAGTAATTGAATGTCTTTACGGTGACAATGAATAATTGCTAACCACCATAAATAAACATTTAAAACTTTTCACATAATGTATGTGTTTGTCTTTCGGGTTTCTTTTAAGTTCTTTTTTAAAAAAATAATTATTCTTTCTTCCCATAGCATATCTTGAAACGTCATACACAACAGTTGAATTAATTCGTCGGTGCTATATTCTTTTTTGACCAAAGTTAATATGAAAAATTTGATTGTCGGGATCTGTTATCTATGTTATCTATGATTTTGTTTCGGTGTCCCTTGCTACATAAAGGAATCATATAGATGTAAAGATCTTGATGGTTAACTAAAGGTCAAATGTCACTTGTAAAAAAAGACTGCTTAATTCAAATATGACAGTAAATATTGGGATGGTATTGGGGTTCTTTGACTGTAGCAGCTCCCCAACTTCAACACTTCAAACCTTACCCCACCATCCCTATTCCCATCGCACAATCCCCTAACCCAACCATCCCTATTTCCGACCCCTTCCCCGAATATTCCCGTACTAAACAATCTCAGTCCCTACATCACTATTACCATCCACAACACCTCAAGCCTTAATCCAACCATTTCCATTCCCAACTCCTTCCCTCAAATTTACCCGGTACCAACACACCCGAACCCTACCCCACTTTCCTAATTCCTATCACACAACCCCCTAACCCATCCATCCCCTTTCCCTTCCTCTATCCCTACCACTTCCATTCTCAAAATGGGATACTGGCTAATAATGCATTCGGCACATCATTTTTAGGACCATGTTTTGTAAGTGTTCTCATCAGCTGTTGACGTTTATTTCGGAAATCGTGAAGTGGGAATAAGTCCTGAAATGACGATTACTGCTATAAATGAAAAGAATTCACAATGAAAGGAATGTTGAAAGCATCACACGATAGAAATATTGACACCGGACTATGAAGATATTGCTAACCAGTAATACAATAAATTTCACCAATCATCACTGAGAATTTAATCTCGCAAATTATCACCGGGTATGAAGTCTCACAACCTATATCTAAGTATGTAGTCTCACAAATCATCTCAGAGTATTTAATCGCACAAGTTATTCCTGAGTATGTTATCTTACCAGTATTCCCTGGGTATGTAATCTGACAAATTATTCAGGAGTGTGCTATCACGAATTGTCCCTATATTAATATATATATATCGAGTAAAAGTTGGTTTATTGTCATAGACATACGAATATTACATAGATTGAAAGGAAAGGAAAGACAAGGTATGATGAAGTACAGTATGTACAGTCATATGAAGATAAGATGAAATAAAGAACAGTGTTTTGCCAAAATTAGTCAATATTGTCGCATAAATTTACTTATCTGTTAGTATCCGAAAACCTGCCGTTAAGTAGTGAAAGAGATTAAATGATTTTCGGATAACGTTGAATTGTAGAGACAACGTTCCTTATACAAGATAAAAACGGTTGGCGTAGACCGATTCATGTTGTTATGTTCATAAAAACAATGAAACAATAGCGATATGACCATGGGTCAATTTGCTTGTTGGTTGCGCTGTTGTATACCTTGTTCCGATTTGAGAACGTGACATTGGCTCACTTAATTTACATTGCGGGTATAGTCGATGAAGCACCAACTTTGATACTCCAGGATGTTCGAGGAAGATGAAGCACAATAAGTTTAACTCTTGCGGAACACCTAATCCTACTATCTTTGTACTTTTTAAGGAATCTGCGTGTAAATATTTCAATTGAATTTGATGTTGAATGGTTATTATCTTCACATGAAGAATTAATGTATCTTTAAGGGATATCTTACGTAGTCATTCTTCCCTTGTTTCATATTTGAGATTTCGTAGGCGAGGTTTGTAGACACGTGCACGTATGGGCCTATAACTTCATGAAAGTAATCGATTGTTGTAAGTTGTCCATCTAAAATTCGAAATATAGTTTATTTTCAAATCTATCCTATAATTGATACCTCTTGACCTATGTTATCATGACGTCTCTTCAACAAGCCATCGATGCGGCGAGGGAGCATTCCTGACACGAGTTTCGTTTAAAATCCAATTCGTCGGACTATATTATAATGCCGGTGTATTTTAACTTGTCGTTTTTATCATGCATTGTGAGTTTTCCATCTTTTTTCGTTACAACTAACAAAATTTCTTCTTTTCATTCTGTCAGGATACCTCTTTTACTATTCTGAACTATGTTTATGTGGGTTGTGTGAATATTAAAATTTTGAGACGGTACGTCCTTCCGGTAGACAAATAGAACATGTCTTGTAAAAGTGGCTATTATGTCATAGATAGATCGCAATGACATAGATGGAAGTGGTAGAAAAGATTAGTTATGATAATGTAGTGAGAGTAAGGATAAGACAGGAGAGTCAAGCATTAGCTTAAACGAAGAGCAGTGATTTTTCCAAAATTACTGATGTTTAAGTCAATACTGACACCACATCAGAATTAATTAGATGTTAGTATTGCAAAACCTATCGTCAAATAGTGAAAGGAATCATATTTTTTCAAATCATATTGAAATCAAGAGAAAATTCCTTGGAACAAAATTATTTCGAATTAGAAAAACTGTGGATGTACACTGATTCGTCTTGCTTCACTTATAAAAAAAGACATTGATATATTAACAGATATGTAACTGGACGTGTTTGGTGCTCATTGATTTTCTTGACATCACTTACAAATTGCACATGGATTGACCAAGATTTATATGGCGGGTGCAGTCGATAAAGTACAAGACATTTACTTTTCTGAAATATCTATTCATATTCTCCTTTTTCATACATTCTTGTACATTTTTATGTCTCCGTGTAATTTTGGATCATGATTATATTGACATGATGGTATTTTCGTGTTTTTGTTGTTTTTTCCCTTCAAAACGTGAATTTGCTTGAATCGTTGTTGAAACAGAAATCTTTCTGTGATATCTAGTCATTCGATTTTTCCTATTTTGTATTTTGCCCTCGTAATTTCGTTGATTTTTCAATCGCATTAACCCAACAATTACAATACATATGCCTTCGTTATTATTCCATCTATCTACAATTACATATTTTTTGTATAACAAGGTCAGGCACATGTGCTATGCAAGACTGGGACAAGTTAGTGATAACTCTTTGACTCACTGAAAAGTGTAAAATGCTTTATTATGCTACAAAAATAAATTTTTGATCAATATAACCCATAGCATTCAGACGTCAACGTTAAATGTAAATTCGCTTGTATATATGTAAATATAATTAAAATAAACATGTAAACCTATGAATGCCAATAAACGACGATTGCTTTCCTTATCTAACATGACTAGTAACAACACTTATGCCTGCACGCGGCGGATAACTGCAACGGAAGATTGAGTACACGTGACAAATCATTTTCCTTATTTCGATTATATATACCAGCTAGAGTCACTGGTAATCAGTTGTCACAAATGTCCAGAAATGAAGTTTCCTTTCGACGTATTGAACTGGTAAAAACCGCATGTCCGATGTCTAAAGCTAACAAAGTATATGTTGGAAGGTTAATGCAGTTGTTTGATGCGTCTCCTCTGAAACTATTGTCCTGGTAAGGCACTGTATGTCTCATGCAAACGAATTAACACGTCACGTACGGCACTAAATATGACAAAGTTCCTCCTGTTACGTGCAAAGCTCGAGCGTGGACTACCACAAGATGCCTCCACGACGCACGGAAGTGTGATATCCTCTGAGATATGCTTTACATTAACCATTGTCCTGTACATACCACAGAGAATATGGAGTATTCTGGAGCGGAGTCTCTGCCAGAGGACAGGTCCGTCGTCATTACACACTATGTCAACGAAGACTAGAAGGTGAGAAACGACGGTGTAATCAACAGTTACCTGTAACACACATGGTCAGATATTTAATTCATATATACTGCAACTGTAACAGTCGTATTGTGATGCTGATGACATGTTGTGTAAATTTGCATATTCATTTATCAAAATAATATATAAACGGTGAAATATGCTTATAGTTATTCAATTGAAAATATAAAAACATTGAAGTAGAATGATTGTTGCATAATTGCGTGATATATCATAACAAAATATTGGTAACGGACAAATAAAGTCAAGATGCCATACTTTATTCCTTATTTTTCTTTCGGTGATACAACACTTACATTTCTGTAGGTAGATATATCTTGTGGTCCAGGCAGTCCTACAACTTCCTCAGAATATACATCGGGCGGTGGAATCCCATCCTGTAAGTCGAAAAGGTTTTAGAGACCTACACACAACTTCTTGCCATCTTGAAGAACCATTCTTATTTTGATAAAGAAGTCCGAACAAAGTTAGATATTAGTTGGTGGGATGTTTTCGTAAATCAAACACGTGTGCTTAAATTATTGACAGAATATCCTGATGAGTTACTACACATTAAGAAATAAAACGAATAAAGTGCTAATAATATGAGTACTGATACCATAGATAAAAATCTAAACAGAAAAAAAAATATATAGATGAAAATAATTCTAACATCTTACATAATGTTCACGGAGCTGATCCGTAATCCTTTGCGCTCCCTCAACATGAGGTATGATGTCATCTCTCTTTAATTGATTGATTCGAATGGAGGGGAGGGGAGCTCCACTAATGCTAGGTCCACATGGAGAGTTGAGACCATAAGGTATGCTCGATGTTGATCGTTCAGAACGAATAACACGGGAATGTACCACAGCTGTTGTCATCATAAAGCAATACCATATACCTGAAAGATACGAAGCAAATACAATACGAATACTAAATGGCCGCCACGTACGTAACTATCCTCGATTTGACTATAAAAGTTTGGTATCTCTGTTTCTTAAGATGTACAACATGAAATTTTCTCTATTTTTGTATGGTTGTTATCCTTGTGTCCTTGTTTTGCCTGATCGAGACTGATCTGGAAAACGGCTGACCGGTGGCCATCTTGGATTTTGCAGTTCAAGAATTTAATTTGTATTTCTTAAGAGCATTTCAAACTCTACATAATTCAGCGCAAAACCAGAGAAAAGAAGAAGGAGATCGAGGGGAAAATCCGACTTTAAAACACTCCTTACAAACATGATGTGTCTTAATAGTTTTTTACATGGTTGACGTGATGATGTGATATTGTCTATATGTTATACTTATCGCCCACGGTCGACATGATTAGTTGGTATTCAATAAGCATATTTAATGTTAGGTCCTTAACGTCAAGTCCTAGACGCAGGAAACAGCAATATGAAGCAGTTTATTTCATTATTTGTCTGTGTAGTATCTACTATGTTAAATTTGTGTTGAAAGGTAATATTCTCATGGGTGTTTTTTTCAATATTTTTTTTATATTATCCTACAAATGAGACGTGATTCTGAAAGTTATATTCCTTTTAAACACTATTTCATCCCCCGTTATCACATTTTTATATATCAAATATTATCTTCTTATGACATGTTATTATAACAGCGAAACGTTATATTATAAAATCATCTTTTTCTGTGTAAATATTTCTCTCAATACGTTATCCTATAAGGATGACGTTGATACCGAAATGTAATACAATTCAAACCCTACCTTGCAATGTATTGCTCCATGTGTATCGTCTCGTAATATTTGCTATGTTGTAGTTTATTTCCATGACTTTGTTGTAAGTCGATATTGTTAATGAAAGCTAGGCTGATGCTGCTGATATTTATACCTTCAGATTTGTAGGATTTTAGGATTTCCATAGAGTCATTTTGGTGAAAATATTTCATTGGATGTCAGTGGGGACATTAATACATATGTTGAGATTGGTAATACCTTGTAACAATAGTTTTTTTCCCATGACAGATAATGACAAATCACGGTTTACCGTCGTTCGGTATTCCCGTGTACAGTATTTAGTAGGCCAACAAATGGACCCATTCTGGTATTCTACTAAACCCTTGCATAATGACTAGGGTTAAGTAGGATCGAACAGTTCCTGTGATATTGTTCACTACTTAAGATTTATGGACTAAACCGGAAACCATTATTTCCAGCTAAAATACAATTAATTCATGAAAGTATAAAGTAATGGTACTATCCCAGATTTTTATCTATAAACCACCAAAATATCATAAAATCATAAATAGAATTAGAATTTGTCATGTAAAAACTTTATATATTATGAGTATCTCATTCTGAAAGTGAAATTATCTGCATCAGATTTAAGAGTAAATTACCATTTGGTGACACATTTCTGGCACGTAACTATGTGAGGAAAATAGGCATGGGGATGACGTTTGTGCAATTTCAGTAATGGAGCGTGCAACAGTACTAGAAAAATTGATAACGTACGTTAATGTATGGCTGTTTTACTTTGAATGCTAACGAATAAGATTGAAAAAGATTAATCATATGACAAATTGATTTAATAAGATAATTCATTAAGCCTTACTAAAAATAAGCATAATGTATAAGTTTCTTTCTTTCCAACAATAATATGCTATCCTGTACTTGTAAGATATGGTATAACATGGTATAACAATCATCACCAGAGCTATTCATAGGTTAAATAAAACAATAGACCACTTAACACTGATGAATATTAATTTCCGTGAAGTGAACATACAATTAGATTTACATTGTGGTATAGGTTGAAGGTTATAATTTGGTCAACAGGAACATAGATATCTATTGGAACATCAAACACTCATGCATTAAGGAAGATATATCAGCGTTGTATGAAACTCCCGCTAGTGACATTAGGTTTATAACCCATGATTTGTTCTATTATTGTATAAAAGTAAAACCTTGTCGTTGATTTGTAATGGAGTCATAAAGTTTTGTTAGAAGTTGATAATTGAATGAAAAATCTAATTATCTTATTTGAAATGATAAAAAGACATGACATACCATGTATTCGTACAGAAATCTGGTATAAAATATGTAACACCTTATTGCTGATGTTTGGGATATTACACTTTTTTCTCTGTTGATGTGTGTTAGGAGTGTGTTACGGCCATGCATGGAATATACGTAAGTCGAATCTTTTCAAAACTAATTGAAGTCATCATGACACTCTCTCGGATACAACAACAGACGAAGATTTTTGTTTTAATTCAAATGCAATGACAGAGACAATAATTTGAGTAGACGGGTGGCGTCGTCGGAATATACTCGCCTTTCACTTAGCCGTCCGGGGATCGATTCCCGGAATGGACGTGAAAAGCTATGGGGTCACCTGCCCGACCACATGGGTTTTCCCCGGGTACTCCTGTTTCCTCCCACAGAAGACCTCTCGCGCGCTACCATCCGGACCAACAAGAGTGATTAATATAAGTTGGTAAACCTGTTTCACAGTTGTTGTAAAATAAATCAAACTTTGTTATTTTTTTTTTTTTTTAGACAATTTTACACAAAAATAAAGATTTTCTTTTGTTCATTAGATTGTGTGCATGTGTAAGGAGAATAAGATCATTTATTCAGAAAATGTGAATGTCTTGTTATTTTCGAGGGTAAACCCAATGTAAATTATGGTCAAAGTCCAGAAATGGCATGTATGTAAAATAAGGATCACGATATTGACAACCAAATCTCCTTGTATGTTGTGGAGAATGAAACACGTCGTACAATACCAAAAATACAAAAGATTTCTCAGCATGATGGTACAATGACTTTTTAGGTATTTTACCAGCGGGGACATTTAGCACGGAAGTACCGCCATGATATTTAGAACAACTTCCTGAACATGAAACAGACGCATTTTTCTGAGTTCTTACTACACCAACGTCTGAATAAATGAAAAAAATGGACATTTGATAGCAGTTTGGATGGATTCTTAAAAAATCAGTTACGATGATAATTTAACTTTTTATTTCAAAGTATTTAAACATATGCTCCTATATTTTTTTTCATTTTTACTTTGTTCAAAACAAAAATAACATATTTGATCAATTCAGAATACCCGCTATGAGACACAATTTTCATGGAGATTATAAAATCTAAATCATATATCTACAGGATGAAAAATTACATTAATCACAGCGAGAACAATGACGATATGACAATACAGTATGTTAACAAACAGGAAGTTTTAGAATATTGTCCGCGAAAGACAAAGAGAAAGTGAAATTCCACATTATCTGGGAAAAGTTCCATCCAGGATCAAAATTTTGGATGTGTAAAGATATACTGCTCTCTTCTCCAACTATGGATAGTGTGATAGGTTTTGTCCCACCAGTATTCACAAACAAAACGTTCAGTTAAACAAAGTCCTGAACTTCTGAATGTAGTAATCATTCAGTTTAAATGAATGATGGTTAGGAAGTGTAGACTCCTTTTGAAAACTTACTAGATTTATCGTACCGGTGTGGCATGGCATTTGTGAAGAATAGCGAAATGAATCGAGATCAAAATACTAAACTACCCCTGTAGTTAAGTAACTTAGCAGTTTACTTAATAATGTGCTCTACTGAGAATTAAATAAAGAATTCCAGTATGAAACATTTGATCAAGTGCTGGCTTTTTGAAAAAAGGATTACATTTTAGAAAGTAATTTAAAAGCACAACACTCAATATGTTGGTGTTCTTTTTCCCGATACAGATGTCAGAATATCTATAACATTGAATTGTTAATTTCCACAAATAATTCTTATTTTTTCTGAATAACAGGCTACCTTTGTTAATTTCGCGACAATCTTTTCAATACAAATTTTCGTATTTCATTTAAAGATGATAGTATAATACTTGGACATTAGGAATGATTAAATAAGAAAATGCTATATTTTCATGTGCTTTAACGACGTTAAAAACTGTATAGCAACCCAAAAATGAAGAGTTCAAAACAAAATTCTTTATTTTACCATTCTCTAGTATTTAAATTGTTTATGCTTTAACAAGCGAAATTTCTTCAAATGACAAGACGTTCCTTTATAGCATATAAATACAACTACAGATAACAAAGTAAATAAAAAACACAAAGTCCAAGATATCCTACTGGAATTCAATTTATATTAAATTGCAGTATCTGCCCTACATCTGGTCAAATATCAGAGAAGTACTTTTCTCTTCTTTGTTTTAAAGTTTTAGTTTGGGTAGATAGCTTCACTTTCAGCTGTTTTTGCAGCCTTTTACATTACTTTTATACCTCTTAGATTTTCTTTTAGTTTTTATTGATGCGTTCCTTTGTTTGATTGATCGAACTCGGGTGAAATGTATGATAAGTATGGAACTAACTATAATTGGTTTGTCATTGTCTTCATTAAACAACATCTTTTGTTTTAAAAAGTGGACAAATCGGGGACGTTCCGACTTTACAAGAAAAACACGTCAAGTATAAATATTTGAAGGGAGTTTTTTCTAACTGTGAAACTTTTCAATCTTTTTATTATTCAGCTTTTCTGCCAATTTATATTTCCCTCGTTTCGCTCATTTATATATTTTAGTAACAAAATAATAATCGGAAAATGTCGATAAAAGCTGAATTTTTCTCTTTGTGAAGGAACGTAGGTAAACGAATCAAATAATTAAAATCAATTTAAAAAACGTGATAAGGTGTCTCCACTTTACCACAGAGTTTGGGGTTGGGATGCTGAGGTACTTTTCATCATAAGAATAATACGACCCAAAGTTAATCCTCCCATAGACTTAATTATCCCATCAAACTACTCTGGTGCTATTTTAATGACCCGCTCGATATTTCATACCATGCATACTTTTATTGATATGACAAAAAATACTACAAACTCTTCTTGTGATATTGCCAGAAATGTAAAACTCCGTACATGAGAGGCGCGCCACGTTACTACACCAGTAAGTTGCCAATATAATGATCTTACAATGGAAACAAAGTAAAGCAGAAAGTGTGTTACTGGATGTCATCGTGCCAGTGAGTTG